GTCTCTGGCGAGACTATAATCCTGCAAATCATCCGTAGCAGAACCACCAGAAGTTGGTTGAGAAGTTTCTGGTTTCTCAATTGGAAACTGCTCGAAATCCACCATTGTCGTGTCTTTCTTCTGCTGCAACATGGATTGTTCATAAAAAATAACATCTCTACTGATCACAATTTTCTTCGCAACTAGATCCCAGAACTTGACTCCTTTGACACCTTTCTTGTAACCCAGAAAATGCACTCTTTCGATTTTGCATCAAGTTTGGATCTCTCATCAGCAGGTACATGCACATAAGCAGGACAACCAAAAATCCGTAAGTTATCAAAACTAACATCATGACCAGTCCATACCTCTTCTGCAACTTTCCCAGCCAATGATGCCCTTGGCTATCTGTTGATAAGATAACACGCCATGTTAACAGCCTCAGCCCAGAAGTGTTTGGGAAGCCCCGCATTCAACCGCAAACATCTGCCTCTTTCATTCAACGACTTGTTCATTCGTTCCGCAACACCATTATATTGTGGTGTCTTGCGCACTGTAAAATGCCTCTTAATCCCATGCTCCTTACAGAACTGTAGAAACTGTGAATCTGTGTACTCCGTACCATTGTCAGACCTAAAACACTTGATTTTTCGTCCTATTTGATTTTCTACCTCAGCTTTCCACAGCTTGAACTTCTCAAAAACATCAGACTTATGTTTCAAAAAATATACCCAAACTTTCCATGAAAAATTGTCAATAAAAGTAACATAATACCTAGATCCACCCAAAAACGATGTCGTAGAAGGCCCCTATACATCCGAATGCACATAATCAAGAATCCCTTCAGTTGTGTGCTTCACAGTCTTGAAACAAACTTTAGTCTGTTTACCAAGAACACAATACTTGCAAAAGTCGAGCTTATAACTTTTAACACCATGCAACATATTTCTTTTATGTAAAAAACTTTAGTCTGTTTACCACGTTCACTAAGATGAGCAAGACGCATATGCCACAGTTTGGTTGTATCATCACATGACTCAACAGAATGAACTCCACCTACAACGGTACTCCCTAACAATTTGTAAATATTCCCTGTAGTCATCTTTCCTTTCATCACTGTCAAAGCTCCTTTAACAATCCGAATGGTCTCCCTATCCTCATCAGCCTTAGGGATAAAACCATTCTTGTACAAAGTGCCCAAAGAAATCAAATTCTTCTTCAAATCTGGGATATGCCGTACACTACTCAATGTCCGAACAGAGCCGTCATACATCTTAATTTTGACATCACCAATACCAATAATATTGCAACATCGATCATCACTCAAAAAAACAGAACCATAATTAACCGACTTGTGTGTCGAAAATCATTCCCTATTTGCCGTGATGTGATAAGAACATCCAGAATCAAGAACCTACGCATCTGTCAATTGAGTCGTTGAAATAGAAAGCATATTACCCTCACTGCAATCAGAATTGTCATCCTCGACCACGTTCACAGACTTGGATGAAACATCACGCTTTTTATCAATCTACTTTTTCAACTTCGGACAGTCTCGCTTCATATGTCCCGCCTCCTTGCACTTGTAATAGTGAATTGTCTTCTTATCCCTAGATCTGGATCTGTAATTCCGCTTGCCAGACCCTGCCTTCTCTGGCTTCTGTCCACGGTCTCGATTACCCTTGACATATAAGTTATCGGCTTGAGAGTTTTCCCCTACATTCTGCTTCCGCTGGTTGTGAGCCAACAAGGCTGCAGTAATCTCCTCAACGTTGATAGTCTCTTTCCCATATGTAAGAGTAGTCACCATGTGTTCGTAAGAGGGAGGCAACGAACACAACAAAATCATCGCTCTATCTTCATCCTCAATTTTCACATCAAGCTGAGCCAAATCAGAAACGATTTGATTGAAGACATTCACGTGTTGCGCCAAATCATGATCGTCCTGCATCTTCAGCCCATACAGCCGCTGCTTCAGATACAGTTTTGTCGTTAAGGATTTGGACATAAATTGACTTTCCAACTTTCTCCAAATTTTGTCTGGAGATGACAGATGCATGACGTGATACATAACCTCGTCCGTCAAGCATAATCGTATGGTTCCTGCCACTCGCTGTTGCAATTCTTCCCAATCGTCCTCCTCCATCGACGTCGGCTTTGTTGGTCGTAAAGCCTTCAGGATCCCCTGCTGCGCCAACAGATCCTTCACCCCTCGTTTGCCATAATCTGAAGTTACCCTGACCATCAAATTTCGCAACTTCGAATTTTGCTCCTGACATCTGATACTAATTATTGAAGAATCGAAAAAGAAAAAAAAAAAGAACACAAGAATTTCAACGAGATTCAGTAATGTGCTTACGTCCTCGGTGCCTAGGCGGCGCTAGAAGTTTTATTCAATGTCACATAGGTTTAGGTTACATCTCTATTTATAATAAAAAACCTGGTACATAATTACATAATTAACCTTGTACCGTACCGCGGGGGCTACGTCCCCGTACCCTTAACCCACATAATCGTAACCCTCTCTACGAGACTTTCTTTGTAAGGACAGTTGATGTTCGCTTCGCTCACTCCGGTCCATCCCCTCTCCTCTTTACTGGTATATTTATGAGTCATACCTATCATTTTCAATTATTGACACGAATTTGTGGTGGTGTGAAGAATGTGGGACTGCATTATGAGACATGGAAAACTGGAATTCAAGGTGTTTCGTTGCATAGCCTTGACCGAGGAAAGAAAGACTTAACGTGGCAGAAATGGTCATACCAGGTTTGACAACTTGCATTCATTTGCAGAAACTACTATTTGCCTGTTTCGATGCTTAGCGAACTACTCTCACACAGATTGGCCTAAAAGGAGAATCAATGAATTTGGTCTCTCAAAATGGAGCCTCGTCTGTTGAATGGATTCGAGGTTCACTAGCGACGCGGAGCCGACAGTCTATGATATAGTACAAGGTAAAAAAAAACTGAAGAGATAGGGGAATTGGCTTGGGTTTAATTTTTTTCCCCTATATCAGTAGCTAAATAATGGCTTGGAAATTGTAGGCATATTTCAATGCCCCGGGAGGCAATGAACCATTAGCTCTGGATATGCAGAGTATGGGAAAGGGTCAAGTATGGATCAACGGACAGAGCTTAGGAAGATACTGGATGGCTTATGCAAAGGGTGATTGCAGTACTTGTAGTTATTTGGGGACATTCTGACCTACAAAGTGCCAGAGTGGTTGTGGCCAGCCAACCCTAAGATGGTATCATATTGTTCTTAAACTCCATAAATGACTAGGCCTAGAATATTTAGCTTAAACTCCTCATTATGCAGTTAGCATAAAATTCGATTCTATTCAAATCCTCCTAAACTCTTAACGGTCTGGATATTTTAGGTACCATGTTCCGAGATCATGGCTAAAGCCAACACGAAATTTGTTGGTAGTCTTTGAAGAGCTTGGTGGAGATGCATCGAAAATCTCTCTTGTGAGGAGAACTGTTTTATAAACATCACCTAGACAACATGACAAGTCAGGGAGCTGTGAAGAAGAAAAAGGAGTAAGGATATAGGTGAAGAAGAGATTCCAGTTTCACTATTGTTTAATTGCAATACCTAGACAACCGGCATTAAGTTCATGTATGAATGCTCTGTAAAGAAGTGGGTGGAAACTAGTGACAGTATCGTCCAACATTGATTGTAAGAAATGAATCATTATTGTTTCCAGATTTTAGTTTCCATTGATGGGGAAGCTCAGAGTAGTGCACTGGATTCTAAGCCCAGAAAACAAACAAGGACTACTTTTTATTTCATACTTCCAGCACCAAGTTAAGAGGAGTGCATGGCTAATGGATTTGTTTTCCTCAGGATATAAAAATAATCCATATAAACATTGCATTATGACATATGATCCATGGAGTCTTTAGTGTCATCATATACTTCTTCAACGGTTGAAAGTTGATAGGGTATACTGTAACTAGTAAGAGGCTAAAGGATATAAAAATAATCATTTTAATAATATTGAAAAAGATTATCTGTAGTTATTTTCAAGAGATTAAGAAACAAAAGAAGGCATGGAAATGATTAGTTAGTATCCCATTTGTCAAGATTTCTTTTTTGTTGCATTCTAATTGAAAATGACCCAAGAAAGATGAAACAGTAGCACCACTACCACAATTGTAAGGCAAAATAAATGGGCTTCCCATGATAATAGCTATTTTGTAATCGTAAGTGTTTTCGGCAAATGGGAAAGTGGAGCTAATGTCAGTTTGATTTTTAATCTCGTTTACGCAAAACTTCAAACAGTTTCTGCTGCTCCTTCAATGGCTCTCCCTCAGCTAATACCTTCTCTCTCTTCTTCTTCGCTCACTCACCAACCTCCCATAAACCCTCACGCAGAAAACCCATACCCCATTTTTAAGCCCATTTTGAAATCGTCATCTCTCTATCAATCGCTCAGGTATCACAGGCTCAACTCTCTCCGGTGCTCCGCTTCCTCTTTCTCCGAGAATCACCACACTGATCCTTCAAAATCAGACGACGTCGTACAGCTCCCTGTATTTCCTCTCCCCTTGGTTCTCTTTATTAATTTTTGTTTCTCATTTGAGGAGGAATCAATTTCCGATTCCGTTTTCTTTTTTGTGGGGAGTACATTCTAAGGCGCGCCCAGAGAGCAGCAGGCTTTACTGGAGTTGGAAGATACTGCCACCAGATTGAAAAGAGAGAAGGAAACTTTAAGGAACACCCTTAATTACTTGTCCGCCGCTTCGGCTGTGAAAGACGTGTTTCCCTCTTCGTCATGACGATTTAATCAAAATATCGAATCGATAACCTCAGTGAGCATATAGATATTCTGATGCTTAATTCGTTATACACGAACTGTAAATTATGGATATCGAAGCTATGCTTTTTTTTCCGTTAGCTTTTCTTGTTAGCCTCTTGAATGAATGGCCCATTTCTTTTGGATATGTTTTGAGTTCCAGTTTCAGAACAGCAATAGCTGGGGCTTGCCAGGCCAGTTATCTTCAATGTATTTCTTTAAACAAGTAAATTCTCCCCTTTTTCCACGTAAAACTAAAATGCATTTTACACTAGCCATTCCTATCATTATGGGCAAATATGTTCTACAAATACAACTCTGAATTTATTCTATCAAAGCCGTGTCCCAACAAAAGGATCACCAACTGCTGAACTTTCTAAAGTACTGTTTCTTTTCAGATGCTTCCGTTATAGTAGCATTCCCAACTCGCTGCAAGCATGAAATGCCCATCAGTGAGTAGTCAAACTCCAAAAACTAACCAAAATCATTAAAGAACAAAATCCTCTTCTGCTATGTCCTGCTTCAGTTATTTAAGATATGGAACCATAAGTGTGTACTAGTGAAAGAACGTTCATACTAACCTTGAAACACTGATTGTTCTTTGCAGCGCACATCGGATAATCATGGGGGCAGCAGTGACGATTGTCTTTGCAACACACGGCTGAATCCAACTCACAGCACTTCCACGAAAAGCATATTCCGAATAGCCGATGTTTACAGCAACAGGTTTCCCCAGCTGAACAGTAAGTGAAGAAACCACACTTAGTTGGTCCCGGAGGAGATGGAGGAGGGGGATTAGGGCTAGTCTTTATTGGATACGAAGCCAACATGTTAATGCCACAAACCCCTTCAGAATTGCCACTGTTACGTATCATATGAATATAGCCATTCATTCCCCACCTCGAACCCCACGAGTTTTTCACAATCCAATAATCCAATCCATTTTCCGAACCATAACCCACAATCAACACAGCATGATCTAAGGAAGTCGAACATGGACCGGTGAATATCCCCTGTCCACATAAATACTCGATAATCATAATCATAGTAGATCAACAAAAGTAAACTTCTTCAAAACAACCATCAGAAGTTAAAACCTAAAACCAACCTTGGAGTACAATTGAAATGCTCTCTCGCTCCCGCAGATACCGACACTCACAGGTTGAGTTGCCACTGCTTGCAATAGCTGTTTCTCATTGTTCATAGGCACATCAGCATAATCATCAATTGTTACCACTTGTTGATTTATCTGTAATATATACATCAAAACTGAAGTTACTGAACAAACTCAAACTTTTTGACAAGAGTAAAAGATGAAAGGAATCAGAAAAGCATTACTTTGTGTTTGTTGCAAGTTTTTTGCCGACCTTGATATGGGTAATCTTGTTCGGTGTCTATTCCATGGTTATCAATGACAAACTGATATGCATAATCCATCAACCCACCCTCACATCCAGTATTGTAAGTTCTGTCACAATCAACCAATTCTTGTTCAGAGAGGCTAACAAGAGATCCAGTGACAATTTCATTTACACCTTCCATGGCTCCAGTTGCCGCAAATGCCCAACAAGCACCTGCATAAAATTAATATTTAGAATTTCCCCTCCATCTAAATTACATAAGAAACAAGTTTAACCTACATCTTGTAACATTGTTGGAATGGTCAATTCATAATCATAATACAAATTGAAAAAATAGGCAACGCGATCCAGACGCTTAAATCGGTTCTTGTTAATCACCCAAAAAAAGAAAGTACAAAAAAAATGAGCTTGTCGCGAAGAATTTATCAAATCAGTAACAAAAAATAATAAATTAAAAAAATATAATATGAAAAAAGTGAGTATATACCACAACTTGCTTGATCTTTGACATGGGTAACGGCGCCTTTGTTCCTCCAATCCAGTGAAGCCGGAATATCTCGAACAAGATCGGGCTCTCGAAGGTTGGGTCGCCTAAACTCAATGGCAGCAGCGGAGAGACCCAAACGAGAGGCCTTGAACTCGTGGTTAGTGAGATCAGCCAAGGCGTTGAGAGCCAAAGAATAAGAAGAATTTGACATATCATTGTGCTGAGTAACAAAGGCGTAGTTGTCTTGGAAGACACTAAGCCTGTAAGATTTTTCCTCCACAGAGGAGTAGGTTTTCCCATGTTGATCGCACCAAGATTCGAAGAGCTGGGAGATATGGGAAGGAGAAGCAGCAGAAGAAGAAAGGTCAAAGAAAAGAAGGAAAGATAGCAGAAAGGGAGCGAAGAGAGGTTCCATTGTTTTTGGTTAGAGAGAAAAGGAGGGGGGATTTGGGTTCCCCTAAACGGTCTATCTTCTTTTAGCTGACTGCAGTTGCCTAAAACTGTGGGCGTGTGTCCAAGCAAATAGGAAGTGAAACACACATGGCTCTTTTACCATGGGTAGGTAGTTCTCCGACACGATCACCTTTTTCTGATCAGATCAGACTCGAAGGTTAATGCTCCGGCCTTATGTTTATCGGTTTTTTCTTTTTAATTTCGCAATATGCTGTGAATTCTTTGGTGCAAATTTGCACAAGTGACAGGCTCTAGAGTCGGCCGCGTCAGATCAATTATATCGCTGTCTGAAATCTGAACTATTTAAGCTATAATTAGATATAAAAAGCTGTAATTAGATATTAGTTTTTTTTTTCAAAATTAAACTTGTATGAGTATAAATGTTTAAATCTCCAATGCATGTTATTTTTTTAACTAAATGATACTAAAATTATAAGTATGAATCAATTGAAATTAAATGTGTAAGTTAAAAATAAATATACACATATATTAAAAGAATTAAATATCTAACTGTATAAAATAACGAGGGCTACATTACACATAAATATTAAAGTTTACCTTTTCAAAATGATAAATATAATTGTCGAGATGCACGACGCAAAATAGAGTGTAGCGACAGTTTACGTCTCATCAATCAATTCCTATAGAATATTTGATATGGATGCGCTCCATAGAATTGATACGCGTGGAAGCACAAAGATAATTGGTTGAGGAAGAATGTTGTTTATATTGAGTAATGAAATCAATGCCATTTATCGGTCCATATGTGTTACGAGATTACACCTGTTGACCTTGATTTCTACATTTCTCCCTACCTCCGAAATTATGAAGCAAAAGAGAAACCATATTTAACGACATCGAAAGAGATGGAAGAATAGAAACAAGGAAAGGTTAAATTCACAAAAGCTATATTTATCTTCGTTTTCTGTCAATTATTTTGCATTTCATACTAGTTTTTTTATCCTCCATATCATGCTTCAAAGGAGACTCAGTAGAATTGGGTTAGAAGTTCATGGGATGCAATGCAAATCACTCAAGCATCTTCAACAGAATATGTGAGTGTAAGTGAATGGAATCATATTTTATATGGTCAGCAAGGTAACCAATTCGAGTCAATGACGACAATGTCATCAAATATCATAAGCTTATCACCGTATTTTGAACATGTAACTTATACAAAGTGTTGTCCATAATATGGGAGCAATTCATCTACCAAATATTTTACTCTCAAAAGTTGAAATTAGAAATATAAACTAATTGTGATATCAATTTCTGTGAAGAAAAAAGTGCTTAACGGGGGCAAAAGATGTAACACCCCAACCCGTATCTGACCCGAATACGAGTCCGAGATGTCACATTAACTTTTTGAAACAATATCCTTGCAAGATAACAAAACATTTGAACTCATATTAAGAAAATACAATAATATTCTATTAAATTATGCTTCATTCTAAAAATTATGCTTCATATTGAAACAATATTCTTACAGTACCATGAACAGTGAAAAAATTCGAATATAAATTATGTATCGATGCACTGCTACAGTACTTTCGTAAAACGTTCATAAAACTCGTAAAAATTTAATCGTTCATTACTATACATTTACCATGTACATATATACTTTAAAACATTACAAAATTCAATCATATAATTTTGCAAAACCGATTAGAGCATATCAGATCCAAATCTTTGTTTACATGCCAACCACTATCATTATTACAAAATACATACTATATATTTATTTTCTGATCTGATCTTTGGAAATGAGAAACTGACATGTCTTGCATAACTTTTATCAATCTTCCTCTTCTCGGAACCTACATGTGAAACAATCACACGCTAAGTCATTGACTTAGTGAGGCATATAAAACATATAACATAATATAATTCATGTAACATATTTCATATAACCGAAAGCATATACATTACATATATTGTATTTTTGATTGTCTCTTTATTAGCTCATGTACACATGTCATTAATTCTTTTTATCATATAAGCATATACTAAACATTTCTATACACATCATAAAATACATATATCATTCACAACAAAACACACATAGTATCATATCAATTGATTTATTTACTCTCTTTCAAACCCATGTATTAGCCCATGTACACCTGTGAGAACTTAAGGTATGTGAGTACATTGAGGTTGTGCACTAATGTTGTCACCACAGCTCGTATGGGTCTCACTAGGGCATATGAAATTTGTCTCGAAGGACCTATGTAACTGTCCATATGTTCCGTAAAACATAAGTAACCCTCGACTCTTGGCATGCCAACTATACCACTAGCTCTCATATCATATAACATGGGCATTATCATTTATACATTTCATATCACTTGTTCTTTATCTTCTGTCACATACCACATGTATGTGTAACCATATATCTCATATCATATCACATGTATCACAAGTGCATATATTCACGTAGATCATTCTTATGGCTTTTATCATTTCTCATTGTTCATGTAAACTTGCATGTCATATCATGTAACATAAATCATATGTTGCATTTTCATGTAAGCATGTAAATCATGTAACATATAATAGCATACATCCATTTCTATGTACTAATACACACATATTAATCACATAACATTTTAGAAGTTACTTCTTACCATAGTAACTCAATCATTGGCTCATCACAAGCCAATGTTTGATCAATCACATAAGTACAATTTAAATTGCACTCACCTTAGTCTTGTTTGCTTTGATTCAATCCTAACTCTTCGATTGCTCTGTAACTCGTTTAGGCTCGATATCTACATAACATAAATTTCGAGATGATTTTCAGAAGCCTAAACCTTATAACTTGGTATTAATAACTTAGGCTAATTTAATAAACCAAAAATTCACTTTTTCTTTAGGAGTGTACCGATGCACTATGTATGCATCGGTACCCAAAATAACTTCGAAATTTCCATACATCGATGCACCCCTTAATGCATCAATTCACCTTCAAAATTGTCTTAGTGCATCGGTGCCCATTCATAGTGCATCGATGCACCTATCCATAATAGTCTATTTTCATGTATAAAATCCTTATTATGCTATTAAACTCATCTATAACAACTTTAACTAATTTCTATTATTCCAACACTTTATAATCTCCCATATTTCATTCAAATTCTTAAGGCTAAGAATCATACCAAATTTTCCATGTTAACCAAACTTAATTCTAACACTTCTAACTTCTTATTCTCATATATGACAAGTTAAATTCCTCCTCCAAATTCATTTAAACCTTTTTATTCAAAATTTCACTTAAAACCCCATTTTCTTTAATCTTTCATAACTTCTTCATCTTTTGATTTTAAGATAACTTAAGCTTTCCTTAAGCTTAGTTATCATCTAATGATCAAAACACAACCTTTAATTTAACAAATAATCAACTAATTAAGAAACTCACATTTGCTTGCATGCTCCACGGTGGAGAAGAGAAGAAGATGAAGAAGATAAGAGAATTGTGTGGAATCACAATAGATTCCACGTGGGTTTCCCTTATTTTATAAGGGAAATAAAAATCTTTCATGTCAAATGACAAATTTTCCCTTTAATTCTTTTAATAATTACTAACAACTTTCAAGAAATATCTCCACATAAATCATTGAACTATTCAAATATTCTACTTTTATCACCAAATTCTAAAATTTTACAATTTAGTCACTAACCCGGTATTGAGGATGTTACAAAAGAAGTTGGAATATGGTGTATAGGCTTAATAAGGAAAGTGGTTTGGGCTTAAGAGAGAATGAAGTTTTTTAACCCAATAGGGCAGCTATGAGAAAAATGAGGGAAATAGGTCACCTTGTCTTTTAATTTGGGAGTTACCGCATTTTTTATAGTGGATGACTAACTCGTCACCTCGAGATGACAAGTTTCTTGAGATATATTATTTTAATAGACCCGAATGACTAGGCCACACGTGGACCATTAATTTATTGTATTTATAAGGACTTGTAGATAATGAGTCCATTAAAAAAAATTGTTATTATAATTTTATGTATTGCAAAAAAAGTTAATTTTAAAAATTTTAAAAAATAATAAACGGGAGGTGACGAGTTCTTTCGAATTAAAAAAACTAGTTGTTTTATAGCCATTGTTCAATGATCATTTGGGCAACGGTCCCAAGAGAACTTGTCACGCCGAGTTGACGAGTTCTTTCAGATTAAATTAAAAAAATAAATTAATTATAGAGTAAATTAATAATTTTATTAAAATAACAGTGTTTACAAACTAATAAAATTTATTTATATTTCCTAAGTTCTTGACAATGTCGAAGAGTGGTCGAATGATAATGACGTGGGCTCGTCGGCCTTGAACGTTACCATCATTATCTTCATCATCTTCATCTTTGGTTGGTTGTTGGAAAAAAAGAGATGTACTTAACACACTCTGAGATCCATCTTCGAAATACGGGGATGGACTTATGTTATTTGACATCATCATTGTCGTTATTAAATCGACTTGGAAACCCTGACCTGTATATTCTATCAAAGATGCTTGAGTGTGTTGGATTGCATCCCATGACGTTCCAACCCAAGTTGGCTGAGTCTCAGTTGTAGTATGATATGAAGTATAGAAACTGAAACTAGCCTAAGATGCATAATAGTAATCTTCATATACATATGCTAAAGCATAAAAAGAATATGATTTCATCGACTTGGCGAATCTGGCTTTGTGTTGTTCTCATTCTCCCCTCTATTATGGTGTTCTGAGATAATGTTTCCCATTATTTTCTTAATTTCAGAGATAAAGAGAATGGACGAAATCTAGGTCTATCATCGTAATCTCGTAATGCATGGGGACCAATAATTGACGTTGATTCCACTGTTAAAACTAAATTCATAATAGATATGAAAAATAATTGGGATGTATCATGCCAAATCATCAAGAATAAAATGCTAGATTTGCGTAAGCATACCTGAATTAATTAATAGGTTGAAATCTTTGAGTATTTCTATGGTTGTGATCTTCCAATAAGATAAGTTTGCTCTTACCGTAAAAACTCTCTAGCAAGAATAAGAGTAATACAAGTTAACTTATTTCTTGGGGATCACTACCTCTTTATATGGATTGAATATTAGGTCAATCTACACTTTGATTCCATGACACTTTCATACATAAAACACATGTAACATAATTGGTCACTTAATTTTGTGTCATACTTTACGATAACATTGTACATTATACATATGTGCCCACAAATATGGATTTTAATTCAACAATCTCCCCCATTAGAGCAACATATTTTTCTGACAAATGTACAACCTTAAGAGCTCAAAATTTGTTATCATATATTAAGTATTCTATAATAATCTCGTCCATCAACTATATTCATATAGGATAAAAGCAGCCTATGTCATATCTATCATGACTAGATCCATCAATGGTCTCGTATACAAACATAGTCAAATGACACAGATCAATCATGGAGTGTAGCATGGAAATTATATGCAATATGAACCACACATGTCTATATCTAATTGGTCCTCTTTAAACATTAATGATATCAAATTTTACCAAAACCATAGTGTGGATAAACCAAAATAAACTTTATTTTTGAAAAAAATAACTTTAATATAAATATCCTTAAACTAAAGTAACTGAAATTGTGTCTATAACAAACGAGCATTAATATTACAAACGCCACTAAAATCGAATATCCTTAAATGATATTACACCCACATGAGTAGTGTGCTCATGAAAGACCTTAGGTGACAGTTCTTTAGTAAACACGAAGTTATGAGTTTGTACCAACATGCTCTATAAACACATAATCACACTGAATTTTCTTTAACAAACAAGAACATAATGTCTATGTGATTTCACTTAAGGTGTTTATGTTATGGAATAAAGGACTACAACTTAGTTGTCACAAAATATTTCAATTGGTATTTTATTATTAATTCATAATTAGCAGTTAATGTGATAAAATTTTGCATCCATATTCCAATAAGTCGGAGTCGATTAAACCTGATGATCTCTTACTTACTAGACCTTCGATATGTGAGCATGTAATATTTTTGTTCTTAAATGTATTGTATGAATCAATTTGGCTGCTATCTAATGATTCATACCCAAATTGCTTAAATATATACTTATTATCATAAAATCATGCACGGTGTCTAAATGAGTATAAACCTAAGTATACATTAAATTCTTTATTTATTTTGAAGTATAAGGAATCTTCTATATCTCTTTAGTTTCAAAATCATCCTTAGGGCAATGATCAATACTAAACTTGTTTCCTTTATCAATAAGGGGTATTATTTCGTTTACTCCCACTGAACTTGAAGTATAAGGAACCTTCTATATCTCCTTAGTTTTTTTAATTCGAAGGAACCTGTCACCTCGAGTGATGAGTTATCGTATATTATTTTTTAAAAATTTTAAAATTTAATTTTTTTTTTGCAATACATAAAAATATAATAACAATTTTTTAATGGATTCATAATCTCGAGGTGAGAGTTCCTATAAATATAATAAATTAATGGCCCAAATGGGGCCCACTCATCCGGGGTCCAATAAAATATTATATCTCATCACCTCGAGGTGTCGAGTTTACCCTGCATTGTAACAAATGTCGTAGATCCCAAATTAAAATACAAAGTGTCTTATTCCCTTTTTTTAGGGTGCTCTAATGGACCGATAATAAAACATAAGACAAAATCAGTATAATCCAACATTTGCGAGTTTTTTTATTTAAATCTGAATCCATTTGAATTAGGTGGATCTAGAAATATATTTTAAAAGAAAAAAGATTTACAAATCTTTCGGATTTGATCATTATAATTGGTTTCCAAAGGAATTTAATTTTTTAGATTATTGATAAAAACATCTTAGTTTATTAATTTTATCAATGATAATTGACTTATTAGTACGGTGTTCAAAACAAGCAAAATATGAGAGAAAGTAAAGATAGTATATGGGTATAATTTCTTGGATTTCGTATCACCTCTGGTCTAATTAGAGTGGTGATGTGTATAAATTTAGTAGGTGGTGGGCAAGTGTGGATGTAAAAAGTCATATCCGCCATGAGTAGTGGGTAAGTGATAGGTTTGAGACATTACTCGCACTGCATCCACCCGCCTCATATCCGCCCGCCCACTAACTACCATCATATACATTTTGGACCATTAGGAATTTAAGTATAAGTTCAGAGATTATTGTATAAATATTAAGATTTTATCAAATATAACTTGTAACTTAACCAAATGTTATGGTATAAATATTTTTAAAATTAAATAATTTCGCTTATATAATATGTAATGTTGCTATCGGGCGGGTATGGGTGGATATAAGTAGGTATGAGATAGGTGTTGGATATTCAGTTGTATAGCGAGGGTGATGATAGATTTGAGAATATATCAGTATGAGTGGGTATAAATTAAAAAAAATTATGCATTATAAGAAATAATTAGGTGGTGAGCATAAAAATAATAGGTAAATATGAAATCGAAGGAAATGATATCCACACTTATCCGTCCATTTGCCATCATGAGAGCAAGTAACAAAATTTTTTTTTGTCACTATCACTTAGTTTGTCTTTTATGATTATCTGTCTATTAAAAATGAACTTTTGAGATGGAGAATTAAAAACGAGTCGACGGTATATATTGTTCAATGAATTAAAGAAATAGAATATTTTATTTTTAGAGTTGTCATTGTTTTAAAGGAAATTTTGCTCTCTTTTTTTCAATTGCATAGGTAAGTAGATAATTGAAATTTTGTTTTTTCATAACAATTTCATTATTATAAATAAATAATCTCATGTAATGTCTTAATATTTTGAGTTAATGGTTAATGAATAAAAATAATTATTTTATTACAAAGTGAAAAATAAACATCACCAAAATTTTACTGTAAACAAAATGGAATTAGTAAGCATTGAATGTAATCGCACTTTCCCAAAGCAACACGTGTCGTCCGAGACGTCATGATCGGGAAATTCAGTTTTCTCCTAGAAAATTCCCGAGACAACAACAATATAGAGAAATCCCTTCAAACGTATATATATCATCATCACTACCGCTTCACATTGAGAAATCACCAGCGGAGCTAAGCAAAGTTTCCAATTATCATCAGGAATTTAACGTTTTCGTTACATTGCTGAATTCCCTTAACCAGAAATGGCCATCAAAAACCTCACCAGAGGCTTCATTTTTCTAATGGCAGCAACCATCATGGCAAGCCAAGTGAATGGTTTAATGTCCTACCCAAGGTCATTATGGGACGTGATGATCCCCCAAGACCCGTTTAGAATCCTCGAACACATACCACTCGCCGTCCCAAAAGCCACGGAGACGATGGCGGTGGCATTGGCTCGTGCCGATTGGAAAGAAACACCGCGGTTCCACGTAATCGCCGTCGACATCCCGGGGATGAAGAAGGAAGATCTGAAGATCGAGGTCGAAGACAACAGAGTGTTGAGGATCAGCGGCGAAAGAAAAGAGGAGGAGGGAATGGAAGGAGAGAAATGGCACAGTGCGGAGAGGACGAATGGGAAATTCTGGAGGCAGTTCAGGATGCCTGGGAATGCAGACTTGGATCACATCAAGGCTCATTTGGAAGATGGGGTTTTGAAGATCACTGTGCCCAAGTTCGCCGAGGAGGCCAAGAGGCAATCTAAGGTTATCGACATTGGTTCGTCCGCTGCTACTGGGGAGAATGTTGAGACCACCTCAAAGGCTGCCCAGTAGTCGTGCATGTGGATGTGATGTGTCTTCGTTTTATGTGATTGGTTTGATTAGCAATAACTTGATGTTATCTTATGTTTGTTGATCGTGATGAAATGATGATTGATATTTTTTTTATGTAACTTTCTACTACTGCTTTTGGGTTCATTGTGCAATTTTTGTTTCTGTTTTTTTTTTTTTTTCTTTCTGTTTTGATCTTTTGATAATAAGATTTAGTAAGTGAGTCGAATACAAAGTGGATGTGGCTCCCGCCGCGGCAGATCGATACTCAGGGACCTCACGAGCCAAGACCTCGAAAATGTTTGCTTTTTCGTTTCATTTGTCTTCCTCTTTGTACTCTCCTCAGTTTCACTGTCGCTTTCACGTGCTTTTATTTGCATGGACTTAAGGAAATTTGAAAACAACTGCACGATGTCGTTTGCCAATGTTCCAGTGTTGTTGGTCGAGTGGACATTTTTTCTTATGACCCGATTAGCTGTTGAAATATGGGCCCAATAACACTATCTAATGATTTCTCGTTATTTAAGTGATTTCAGGATGTTTACTACTTAAATCAACTCCTTTAATTTCATTTCACATATTTAAACCAACCCCGTTAATTACATTGCTGATATGCTTAAGCTTCAATGATTTTTATTTTTTTGGGTGGTTAGTTAATATCTTGCTAAATAGTAAGTAGGTCATCAAGTATAAACTTTCTTCGGTATATGAATAATATTATAAAAATAATTTTAAAAATATTAATTTAAAATTTAATGTCAATCAGACGAGTGAGTATATTTGGCGATTGTTTAAGTTGTTGTTCCTTCATATTCTTTATATTATAATTTCTAGACACATTATGAGTATTCTTCTTCATTTCTTTAGAATCTCATTTCTCTACCCCTTTAGATAAAATTAAGTTTAGATTTAGAATTTATTAAAAATGAAATTATATTCATTAAAAATTTATCATCATCACTGATTTAATTGATCAAAATTAATAATTCATGTATCAACAAACATTAATCATATAGTAATATCAAATCCTTTTTGATAATATTTAAGGTTGGCATAGCTTAGCTCAGGCCGGCAGTCCCTTTACGCATGAAGGTCACAACGATCCAGTTATTCGAAATCAAATTTGCTGCAGACCTGCAACACAGCCAATATCACAAGGGGCTGCAAGTAGAGTTGGTGCTGTAAATGACATGTCTTGTATCAAAACCTTAATTCAATACCGTCGCCCTATTGAATGAAATTCATAAATTTTAAAATAATTATTAAATACTTTTTTATTTTTTATTTATATGTAATAAAGAGATAAAGATTAATTTTAAAAAATAAGATTGACAAATAATATAATGAACCGAATTTATTTAATAATTTTTTCTATTGAAGGAAACCTAACACTATCCATATTGGTTCCCCCCTATATTAAGGATAAGTCGGGACCAAAACTCTTATTTGTACTGTCAACTGTCAATTCATTATCTTGGATGTTCCGTAAAGGAGCATAGCAAAAGTGTGGGCTCTCAATGGTTAACGAGTACGCCAAACTTTTTACTAATAATTCAGTTTTTAATTAAGTCTATTTTTAATTCTGGAAGAAATAATTTAAACACGTTCCGAAAATCTTCCATGGACAAGGCTCATATCTCCTGTCTCAACAGTTTCGATCACTGTTCGAAAACACACAAACCATCTTTTTTCCGATTTTATGATTCTTGTCCCAAATCTTGTGATTCATGACTTATTTTTGTTATTTACTTAATGACACAGATCCTAAACTCAACTTAGCTGCTGACAACGTAAACTAGGAACCACACTTGGGTAGAAGCTGGAATATTATATGGATTCCAGAAGCGGATTGTCAAAGCTTAATAACTGTCAAGTTCATAGTAGAAAAAGATTCCATCGTGCAAATTAAATGGACGGTTGATAGAATTACACGTGAATATTAAAATAATAAACTTAATTATTATATTTAAATTTCAACGTACACGAGTTAATAATCTAGCTGCTTTCCTCTTCTTCTCTCGTCTGGTGCAGGAAAGGGCTGCTTTGCATTCAAGAATAAGGTACACATTCTTCGGACGCATCTTAATTTATGACGGCGATTCTCAGTTGCAAATAAGAAATCATGCTTCGAGTGAAGACTACAAGCACTGGGGTCAATATTAGAGAATTTGAAATTTCCCGTTGGACCTCGCACATGCAAAATCTCTTTTAGAGATTTATCGATATAATTCCCTTGTCAAGTCTCTTCTCATACTGTAGCCATAATTTTGTCTTCAAATGACTGTGTTTTCTAGAATATATATATGCTTTTACGTTTAAAGTTTTATTGTTTTTTAAAGTAGTGTTCTATAAACAACAACCTGTTTAGGAAACCCTAAATTATAATATCTCTATTGATGAGTTTAAATTTCGAAAAGCCAAACAAAACCAAGAAATGGTTTTGTTATTTTCATTACAGCGCGACTTTAAACACACTTAAATGCATATTATTCTCCTCTTATCTTTCTCCTGGTTATATCCATTTCAAGATGTTGAAGAAACATCATGTTCTACCATCTACAAATTATTCTTCATGGTGATAAAACCTTACATTAGACCCACAATGCATTAAAACTTATTAGCTAATGACCAGGGGTTTCCGTTCGAGCAGAGGGTCACATCCACGCAGGTCTATTCAAGTATCTGCATTTATTTGCAGAGATCGGCCAATAAAAGAATACAGATGTTTGTACGTATAAAATTGCCTACATTCTCATTCAAAAAGGAAGAGAGGGAGATGGAGGATGAGATCTTTCATAGCTTTGCTTTTTGGAATGGAATGCCAATGCATGAAAGACTTGTAAAGCTGGTTCATGGGCTTTCTTTATTTCTCTTTGTTTTCTCTCTTTCCGGGGATTATTTAACCAGATTTAAATATTAAAGAAAAAGAAAGCGATGGTAATAAAATTCTTTGCTTAGCCGAACACGAAACCTTGTCGTCCCATTTCCATCCGGCACGCAGACGGATAAATGGGAAAACGGCTTCGAGTTCAACACCAACCAGAAAGCAGATTCAAGATCAATCAAACCCACAAAAAGAAAGGGAAAAAATTATATTTAAAGAAAGCCGATAAAGAAACAAAAAAATAATTCACGCCCCTAAAAAAGCACACAATCACATGCTACAACAACAAAGTTGAAATAAAAAAACAAAGACTAAAAATCGATCCGAACAAACTCAAGCACATAAATTCTGAATTGAAATCCCAAAACAATAACCAACGTCCCCCAATATCATAAACATGCTCAAAAGTTTGTATTCTCATTCCAATTTATTTGTTCTTGGGTGGGTGTAAATAAGATTTGATAAACTATATAACTAAAGTGACCGCTAATAACAAATGGATGTATTTTGCTCGAAGGGATCCGCTCCTATAGATATCAGTGTGGACTGTGGCATAATTGTTGACATGCCTATAAATCAAGACCTCGAAGGCGGGAAGAATTGCGTACCGGCAATGAAAGCATTAAGTGGAACTGGATAAAGAGAAGGGTCAATCATATTTGAGCCAGGATTGCTTGTAGTAGCGGTGGTTGTTGTCGTTGTGGCCACTGCTGCAGTGGAAGAAGCAGCTGTGATGAGATTGAATTGATGAGCCTGAGAGGATTCCCCGCCACTTGCGTATCGACTCTCGGGGCCTCTATCGTAAAGAATTCCCTTGAATACATGCCCTGCGATGTTCACAGCCGTTTGATAAGCAAACTCTCCCTCTACATCGTTCATAGGGCTTACTTTTACACAACGGAAGACTGCTGGAGAACTCACTTCCGGAGGGAATTGGCCCAGGTCCAACCCTAATTTTCAAAGGCAGACAATATAAATCATGGTGACAATAATTCGATAACTAAAATATTCAAACTTAATAAAATGTAAAGAAAATAGAGATTTTTTTTAATTTCCTCCCGATTTTTATGGGACTTTAACGTCGGTTTTACCAGCAAACAGTGGCAGAATTAATGGAGAAAAGAAGAAAAAGAAAAAAGCAGTTGGTTGGGTGACAATGGAGGTGGACTTGCACACACGCAAATCATACGGTCTTGTTGGGGCATTGGTATTGCTGGCAGTCACTGAAATTCCTCGGTTTCTCACCATTTTAATCTTTCTCGAGCTATGTTTACAATACGCGGTTTTTGACAACTCTCCATCATAGACGCTTTACACGATTTCAATTCAAAGAGTCCAAAAAACATGCATTGATGTTTTTTCTTTCTTTTGGTTGTCTCTGTGTTGTAAACTAGTGCAACTTTACCTGACATGGTGGGAGATAAACGAGTGAAGGCAAGAGAAGGAGAAGCATGATTGTCTCTCTGCCTTTTAGGATTCTCTCCTAGAAACTGTTGTTGCTGCTCTTGTTGTTGATCTTGCTGCTGCTGCTGGGTTTGTTGAAAAGCTGCTAGTTGTTGCTGTCTCTCTCGCCTTTTGGCAGCAGGAACCCAAGTGCTCTTAACGTGAGTTTGGCACTGAAACCCTTGGCTTTTGCAACAATTCCTGCATCTCAAATGTGGACAATCTTTCTTAGCTTGGTTCCCACAATCTTGGCAGTTCATACCTCCTTGTCTCATAACCGTAAACCTTGCTGTTCTCGAAGACGACTCATCGGAGAGATTAAAGCCACTGGTTCTTCGACTAGGCCCCACTTCAAACTGGAACTCGTTGACGTTTTGCTGTTGGTAATAACACTGAGGCCATATCTCAAACCCTTTGTTGTAGATCTCCTCGTTTCTGTAAAGATAGAGGTTCTCCTCTTTATCTCCGCCTTGTGATTTGTTTGCAGCTGCTGCACCTTCTCGTCCACCTAGATAGAACAAGCCAGCCATTTGTTGCACCCAAGAGCTGAAACCAATTTCAAATTTGACCAAAATTCCATAGCAGAATGACCCTATTTAGTGCCCCCACACTCTCCACCGCCAGATCACCAGTGTGATGAGCTGGTTGGATTTTCCCTGGGGTTTTTATGGGTTTCAACTGTGGAAGCTTTTTCTGTTCAGTTTTTAAAGGCCACTGTTAGTCTGTGAAAGTTTGTAGGGAGGGGGGTTTGTTTTGACCCGATCTTTTACCTTCA